ATTTCATGCTTATGCTTTGTGTTGCTCATTTGAGTTTTTCATGTTGTTTAGCTGCCACGTCATTTAAATAAGCAAACGATTGCTGAGACTTTACATTTACCTATGATGAGATAATTATCGGTAGCAATCTAATGCCTAGAACCTTATGATTTAGAGGCATGTGAGATTGCCTTAATGATTTTATGATGCAATAATTATTTACCGAATCTAGTGCTTGATTGACTTGTGGGTATTTGGGAGAATATTTAGGTATCTTGCATGTTTAAAAAAAAAAATCTAAGTTCCGTGTGAATTGTTAGAGGTGCACAACTAGCTCTAGCCGAATAAATTGTTCACAATAAACTTTAGATCTATGACACTCCGCTGCTAAGGCAAGTCTGGTACGCTTAGTGAATACTAAGTAGGAAATATAGTCTCATAACATGAGTGAATGAAAGCTTTTACGGGATGACTCTACTTAAAATGCTAAGAGGATCGTTGTTCACAACTTACTACTCAAGTACTGGCTAGTAGTTGTGATTAGCTAAAAGTATAGTTAAGCTAAATAGTAATTGTTGTAACATTTCTTTTGTTTTATTAATTACTTTGATAATTTTGATATTCTTTACAAATACACATGGTGGAGAACTGTCACGACTAAAAGCGCACATGCACGAGTATTAAAAGTTGTTTTGAGTTGATTTCTTATTATCTTGAGATTCAAAGGTGATTGACAGAAAATTAGATTTATACGTAAAAACAATAAATACTAGTGAATTAAATTCTCAAATACTTTCAACCATATATATATTGATTAAATATCTATATATTTAAATAAGATTATATGTTGATTATTATTTTTGGGTAAGTATCTGTTGTTATTGTTATTAGTGAGGAAACTTAACATTTACCTATTATATACTTTATCAAGGGTATTGCATCAATTTTTAATTAATTATTTATTTATTATAGATGAGTTTTTCCATAATTAGTTAATTATTTGTTGTTAAAATTAATAGCCGATACTACTATTGCTCAGTGTAGTTTACTAATTTCTTTTTCATCATTATTATAATTAAGAACAATTAAATAATCTTTTAAATAAACTGACATTTCATAAACTAAATAATAAAAATTATATCTCAATCAAATAAAAAAATAGAATTACCAGTCGAAAAAATATCGGATAAAAATGGCTTCCAAAGTTGTTGGAAATTATTGCAAAACCTAGAAATAGTAGAAGGATCCCCACCAGATATAAAATCTTTTTTAAACAATTCCACCAATTATTTTCTGTTTGACAGTTTAGTCCTCCTCCCACAAAACAACCTTCGCTATTCCGCATTGCCTCAACCAACCAGATTATTGTTTTGTTTATTAAATTCCGTTCTTTAATTCTAAAAAAATAGCTGACTCTTATTCTTATATGTAATGCGGTAAGGGGAGGTAGGCTGCTCCGAACGTCAGATTGAGAGTAGTTTCCGTGAGAGACCTTCAAATTATAAAATGTATTCAATAGAACTCGATCCCACGACCTCAAAATTAAGAACCTTACGCTTTACCATCTGAGTTGGATGGTCATTTCTCCATTATTTAATTCTCATTTCCACAAATTATTCTCTCCTTTTTTTTTCTTTGAACTTGAAAGACTTCGCCTTGCTTCAGGTATTAGCGGTCAGGTTTTCTCCTACTTTCCTTCCCTTTCATTGCTTAAGTTAAAAATACTTTCTGGTGTTTGTCTTCCTCTCTCTCTTTCTTTCTATATATATATATGTAGACTCTTTATTTCAATAGATTTCGCCTTCTAATCCGTATATAAAGAAGGATCCCCGCCTGGGTCTCCATTCTCAGCTGGTGATTCTTCAATTTCCTTCTTCTTCTTTTTTCTTTTTTCAGGTGCCATTTTTTATCTCCATATTTCATATGTTTACTTCGTGGGGTTTTCTGGGTTTTTGTTTTTTTTTTTTTATTAACCTGACATTTGGTTGAAAGCAGAGAAACATGGAATATATGTAAAAGGTTTGTGAAGGTAAATTTGAGTGGTGAAACAATGGAGAAATGCGTAGAAAGTTCTTCAAAGCAAGGGAAAGGGAAGAGATTATGGAAGAAGATGAAGTATCAGCTGGTGGAATACCACTCATTGCTGCATATTTGAGGGACAATGAGTATTATCGGCCATTATAGATCAGAATGGCCGATGAAGCAGCTTTTACTCAGTGCCTTCTCGATCCACAACGAGACTTTGAACGTTTGGGCGTAAGTTTATAACCCATTTTACGTTTGTACCATTATAATGTTAAAGAGTATGACAATTAACTTGTAGGCATTTGATTGGGTTCTTCTCTTCCTTTCCCTTACCATATACACTGCAATCAAGATTCCGAAGGTTGATATTCATGATATTAAGAAGGGCTGATTTGCAAAAATTGCATTCCGAAACTTAACATGCCTACCTTCGTTACCGAATATCTCCAGTTTACACTAACTCAGTGACGAGCTGAATACTCTTCCGTCACTCTGCAATATCGGCGAACTTTTATAATTGTTTGCCTGACCGTTTCTCCACTACGAATCAATCCAGTGTATGTGTTTTTTTTCTTTTATCGTTTTTCATTACTTGATCATGAATTTGAGGTTTTGGTCATGCTGTCGCATTAACTTATATTAAGATAATTGCAGAGGAGTATGGAGGAGGATGCGGAAAGCAAAAACGCCGTTGATGGTGAGACCGTAACTCGATGGCCGTTTTTCGCCTTCTTGGGTGGTGCGATGTTTTGCCTATTAGCTAGCGGCGCGTGTCACCTCTTGTCGTGCCACTCCAAGCGCATATCATATATCGTTCACAGGCTAGACTATGCCGGCATTGCTGCGCTATTTCGACTTCCTTCTTCCCACCTGTGTATTACTCCTTCATATGTGAACCATTCTTTGTAAACCTATACTTGGGATTCATAACCATCCTCGGAGTTGCGACGATCTCGTTTTCCTTCTCACCAGGGTTCCATCGACCCGAATTACGAACACTTTGTGCATCCTCTTCTTCGGGATGGGGACGTCGGGTGTAGCACCGATAGTTCAGAAGCTTACCTTGTTCTGGCACCAACCCGAAGCATTTCATACCTCCTGGTACGAGGTTGTGATGGGGATATTGTATAGTACTGGAGGTTTGGTGTATGCAACAAGGATACCGGAGCGATGGCCGGGGAAATTCGACATTGCGGGGCAGAGCCATCAGCTATTTCACGTCTTGGTTGTTGCTGGGGCATACACTCATTATCGTGCGGGCCTGGTATACCTCAAATGGAGGGATGTACACGGATGTTAAACAACTTAAATTGTTGGAATAATAATTTTGACTATTGATGATTCCTCTCTTTGAAAGTATTTTTTTTCTTCTTCTTATGTTCAATTCAACACAACGTATATGATTCTTCGAAAACAATCTCAAAGTGGAACGTTAATATTATTCTATGACACAGTAAGTTGCTTGCGGAGCTTTCTTATTGATGAGCAGGCGACATGAACAAAAATTTATTGCTATTGCTTTCACATTGAGAGTTGAAATCAAGACCTCCCTCTTACTAAAGCGTGGTCTAACCAACCGAGCTATGAATGCCACCATGTAACAAAAGTGGTGCTCACATCTCAAGTACCTTGTATTACTCAACTTGGCCAGTCTTCCGATAGCAGTTACTATACACTGTCAACCTTAGTTTTGATATTGTATAATATTAAATACACAAAATTAAAAAATAATTTTCTCAATTTATTATATATTTTTTAATTTTATTAGAAAATTAATAATTTTTTCATAAATAATTATTTAATACAACTACTAAAAATTATATTAAAAAATTAACAAGCTGCTTGCGAATTTATTGAGTCGAGTTGGACTTCGCTAAACTCAACTCGTTAAGGTCTCGAGTTCAACTCGTTAAGGTTGAGGTAAGATTTTTAAAATTTGGGATTTGAGATTGGGACACAAGAGATGTTGCTTTACTGTAAGTTAAAAGATATTTATTTATGGTCTACAAATTTTAAATAAATCTAAGTCATTTATTTATTGGGATTGGAATAAAAATTTCTTTAATTCACGATAAAATAATATTTTTACCCCAAATATTTAAATCTCAAACCCCAAACCTAAACCCTAGATCTCAAATACCAAAATATTAAACTTAAACTTTGTACCCTAAGCTCAAAACTATAAACTCAAAATCCTAATTTTATGTCATAAAATTTAAATCTTAAACTCTAACTAAAAAGAGAAAAATATTATTTTATTATGATTTAAAAATATTATTTATGGATTATAAATTTTAATTAAGTATATGTTATTTATTTATTTAAATCTAATGACTATAACAATAGTCTAAAACTGTTAATTTTACAGTGTAGTGGATTATAACTCATATATAAACTCATATTTTTGGAAATTGATTATAATCTAGAATATGAATTTATTAAGGAAGGAATACATACCATGTAAATTTGTCAAAACAAAATCTATGCATCTAAAATATTTTTACAGAACTAAATTATATCAGTGGTTATAGAATAGTTAATATTATTAGAGGTTTTAGGTTTGAGCACTATAGATAACAAGAATATTAAGTTTTCATTGTCAAATTAAGGATCTTTAGAAATAAATATACCTTATAATTGCTATATTATAAAAAAGAATATTTTATTATATTAATGTAAAAAAATTATTAATAAAAATAGTATTTATGTTATAATGTCCTAAATTTTCTACATCTTAAACAAATCCCACCAAATTAGATTATTTTCTTAGAAAAATGGCATAGTGATGGATACACAGCAGTGCCGCAAGAGGATGAACGGTGCCGTTTACCCTAATGCATCCACCTCTACCTATTATCCACCCTGTGAAAAAGTATTCCCAACTATACAAGTTATGATTACAATACAAATTCAGGGAGAAACCATAAAAATGTCGTGGTTAGCTAGATCGATTGCTAACTCGCTCAAGCTTGACTAAGACGAAGAGGATCAAACCAATGCAGCCTGAATCAGAATTCCGAATCCGATCAAATCCCAACCACGCCTCATCGGATCCCAACACTCCACGTGGCGTCAAAGACGACCTCTCCGAGTTCACCAAAAGCCTAACTAGTCAATTCTGGGGCGTTGTTTCCTTCCTCGCTCCGCCTCCTCCCGATTCAACGGAACGAAAGCACGAGCATCCGGTTGAGAAGGCAAATCCCTCGGTCGCCGTCTGATGATCCGGATGAGTTGTCCGATGAGGATTGATAGGTGGAATCTGTAATAATTTATCAGAGATCGGTGGAAATTCAAGAGTGGAATCTCGCATCTGTAGTAAAATAAACGTCTCGGAGTTCACTAAGTTCGCTTCGAATTTCCTTCAGTTGCGTCCGAGGAAGATGGTCTTGAAAAATACGCGATTGGACGCAGTCGGTGTGACCTAAGAAGTGATTGCTTTCGCCAGGATATGGCGATGCATCCAGAAACTTGGCTCGATTTCCCGATTCCGATGATGGTGATTTTGATGGTATTACTTAATTTGAACATTTAAAACAAGCTGAATTCTTGTTACTTAATTTCTACCTTCTGTTTTTTTATGTGCAATTTCTTTTTCTTTTTGTTCTTTTGCAAATTTTGAATTTTATTTGATTAACTCTGTTGAAAAAATGTCGTGGTTAGCTAGATTGATTGCTAACTCGCTCAAGCTTGACTAAGACGAAGAGGATCAAACCAATGCAGCCCTGAATCAGAATTCCGAATCCGATCAAATCCCAACCACGCCTCATCGGATCCCAACACTCCACGTGGCGTCAAAGACGACCTCTCCGAGTTCACCAAAAGCCTAACGCGTCAATTCTGGGGCGTTGTTTCCTTCCTCGCTCCGCCTCCTCCCGATTCAACGGAACAAAAGCACGAGCATCCGATTGAGAAGGCAAAATCCCTCGGGTCGCCGTCTGATGATCCGGATGAGTTGTCCGATGAGGAATTGATAGGTGGAATCCGTAATAATTTATCAGAGATTGGTGGAAAATTCAAGAGTGGAATCTCGCATCTGTCTAGTAATATAAACGTCTCGGAGTTCACTAAGTTCGCTTCGAATTTCCTTCAGTTTGCGTCCGAGGAAGATGGTCTTGAAAAATACGCGATTGGATACGCAGTTGGTGTGACCTAAGAAGTGATTGCTTTCGCCAGGGATATGGGGCTATTTGACATGACATCAATTTTTTTTAATATTCTCTTTCTTTCTGACATCGTTTTACCAATATTTTTCGAAGTAACACTTTTTTTGTTGAGTTGGCAAAGGTACGTCCCCGGGGACGCGCTTTACTCGTGTTTTCGCTGAGTTGGATGCCACGTGTGGAATGCGCATCCCCAGGGACGCGCCTTCACTGACTCGACTGCCACGTGTGGAAAACGCATCTCCGGGGACGCGCCTTCCATTAAATGCCATAAATACCCCCATCCGTTTTTCCTAACTACCTCTCCTCCTCCCCTATATAAACCCCCTCAACCCTTCCTCATTCTTCACACCAAAATCATATTCTCCTCTTTTATATAACTCAAATTCTCCAACTATTTGAGTTTTAAATTTGTTATTAGTGGTAAGAAATTTATTTTTATGTTAGTATTTTTTTAAATAGTTATTATTTTTTATATTAATATATTTATGTAAATATTATTTTTTTTAAAATAATATTTATATAATTATTATTTATTTAGAATTATTAATTTTTTTTGCTAATTATATTGTTTTATCTACAGTTATAATGGAAAACGAAATGCTGTTGCGATTGGATATTGATCATATCTCCAGACATTTTAGCGATGGTAATATTTTTTATAATTAATGTTAATATTTAAATTTATTTTTATTTTAAAGTTATTATGAATTTATATTAATTTTTATTTTTTATAATGTATATTATTTAGGATACTGATCGTATTTTAGAGACTTTTATTAAAAATCCACGTATACCGACACCGGAACGTATTTTGCCATATTTGGCTTCTGCCGGGTTCGGGTATATTGCAACAATTATAGGCGGTTGCAAACTCGAACATGTCCTAATTTCTGCACTGATTGAGAGGTGGAGGCCCGAGACACACACTTTTCACCTTCCATGTGGAGAGGCCACAATTACATTGGAGGATGTCTCTATGCATCTGGGGCTTCCCGTCGACGGAAATATGATGTGTGGTATGGCGGATGGTGATTGGCAATCAATGTGCATTGATTATCTTGGAGCTGCTCCGCCAGAGTTTAATGGAGGTAGAATAGCTTTATCTTGGTTGAAAGCTAATTTTGAGGTTTTAAATGAAAATGCTTCAGAGGATCAAGCAAAGGCATGTGCTCGGGCATATATTCTACGAATAATTGGAGGAATATTGATGCCCGACAAATCTCGCAACCAGGTGCATTGTATGTGGTTGCGGCATCTGATCGATTTTGATGAAGCTGGAAGATATAGTTGGGGCGCTGCAGTTTTGGCATTTCTCTTTAGAGAAATGTGTCGGGCGACGAATTATAAGAAAACTGCTATCGGTAGATGTCTTCTGCTTCTACAATCATGGGTGTGGTTCCGCATGCCTTTCTTATGCCCGATCGTGAATGAACCATACGTATTCCCCTTATTGTTTAGGTAATTTTCAAACTAAATTTTGATTTAAATATTTTCAATTAAATAGGGTGATATTTAGTTTATATTATATTTCATAGGTGGTCAATGAAAAGAAAGTACCATAAAAGTATACCTACTGGGTTAGAGGAAATTCGTTTACTTATTGATACGAAAGCTGGGTCTGAGGTATGTTTTTAAATTTGTTTAATTATTAATATTTTAATTTAAAATGCTAGATATAATTAGAATATTTTATTTATTTGAATTGTATATTTATATTTCAGTTTCAGTGGATACCTTATGCGAGCGATGAAGTGAAAGCTTGCATCCCACCCCACCTTAGTGGGTCATTAGAGGTATGGATATCGGTTATACCTCTTATATGTTATGCTATTATTGAGTGGCATCCAGTTGATCGCGTGCTCCGTCAGTATGGTTGTACGTAATATATTCCTGGAGCACCTAGGAATTTAGACGACATGCATAACATAGATAGACGAGGAAAGAAAGATGTTAACTGGGTGGTGAGACACAGAGATTGGATTGCGCTTTGGGAGAACTGATATACACTGTTGGCCCCTCGACAATATTACGCTGAAACTGGTCATATGGTTACGGATAACTATATGGACTGGTTTAATGAAAATGGGAAGCCGTTTCTACTTTCGGCGGAAGCACGAGGGGTTAACATTCTTAGGCGCCGAGAAAGACGTCAACCGTCTCAATATCATCGTCCCCCGACGCGTGGACGGAGAGAAGGCGCTACCGGTTCTGCATCAGTCCCACCACAACATCCTTATTCGTCGATGCCGCAGGGGTACATGCCCAGCCCTCCACTTCATATGCCAAGCCCACCAGTTTATATGCCATCTCCGCAGGGTTACATTCCGAGCCCGCAGGGTTACATTCCGAGCCTGCAGGGTTACATTCCTAGCCCGCCAGGTTACATGCCTAGCCCGCAGGGTTTTATACCATATGGAGGTGCATATACGACTATGTTTAATGATCCAGCATATGGTTCATATGCATCTTATTTGGCTGGTGGTGCTTCTCCGCAGACACCTCAATCTCCATTTTATACAGGCCCTTCAGCCCCTTCAGCGTTCATCTCACCAAATGAAGAAAATGCTGCTGATGATGATAGTGAAGATGAGGAGACTGAAGAACAAGTTCCACGAAGAAATCCTCCGAAATAGACACCACCGCCATGTGGAACTCATTCGAGAATACGACATCGGTGATCCAGTTGTATTTAATGTTATTTAAATAATTATATTTCAGAATTTATGTAATTTGGTTATGTTATTTAAATTTCATGGTTGTTACATACATATTTTTAATGTTATTTTTTATTCACATTTAACATTAATGTTTGATCAATGTTTTTAAAATACAAATTATATTATTCAAAATTTAAAATAAAAATAAAATATATTATTCGAAATTTAAATTTAAAATATAAATTATAGTATTCGAAATTTAACATTAAATTTCAACTTAATATTCCAATTGTATTCGAAATTAAAAGTTATATCCAATTATAGTTCACAATACTTAAATTGAAATTAAATTTATCCATACATATGATTTTATCATTACATATATATTAAAACGTATACATTAAAATCAACTTTTGTTGAGTTAATCGATCGACGAAATCGGCCAAGAGGGGGGTGAATTGGCAATTTATTCAAGTCACATTTCAATGCTATTCCATACAATTTCAATGTCACAATCAACTTATCACTTCACATTTATTCATTTATCCAAACATTTTATCTAATTTATTCAAACTTCACATAACGTTTTAATTTAAGTTTTCTTAACTTGCTGAACTTTCAAAAGAAGTTAAATTTTGGTTATAATTTACCTATTTACTGATATCTAGTGTCCCCGAGGACATGAGTGACATAATAGGGCAATGATAACATATTCTATGACAAAATAATGGAAGGCGCGCCCCGGGAACACGCCTTCAAGTCCCTGAAATAATAGGTACTGATATGATAATGTCCCGAGGGACATGAGTGACATAATAGGGCAATGATAAATATTCTCTGACAAAATAATGGAAGGCACGCCCCCGGGAACGCCCCTTCATGTGAATAGTGAAATAATAGGTACTGATATATCTAGTGTCCCCGAGGGACATGAGTGACATAATAGGGCAATGATAACATATTCTCTGACAAAATAATGGAAGGCGCGCCCCCGGGAACACGCCTTCATGTGAATAGTGAAATAATAGGTACTGATATATCTAGTGTCCCCGAGGGACATGAATGACATAATAGGCCAATGATAACATATTCTCTGACAAAATAATGGAAGGTGCGTGTTGAGTTAATCGAATGACGAAATTGGCCAAGAGGGGGGTGAATTGGCAATAAAAAATTTGTGGAAGCTTTTGCAGAAAATTGAAAGTAATTGCACAGCGATTTACAGTGGTTCGACTTTCTCAAACAAAGTCTACGTCCACTACCTTAGCTATCCACACTAAGGATTTTCCAACAAATTCACTAATTTGTTCTTTCTTTTGAGGCCAAAGAGATAACCTTACAATTCCCTCAAGAGTATACCCCAACTCTTGAGAACACTCTTTTCTCAAAGAGAAGATTACAAATTTGCAAACTTACAAGAAAACCTCACAAGGTAAGATGTTTGCACAATTCTAGAACAAAGAAAAGAACACTCAAAGATGAATACAATTGAGCACAAAAAGTGTTCTTGAAAGCAAAATGAATATTGAATGAAAATAGGCTTGAAATGCTCAAACTTGAGGTTTGATGCTTTCTCTTTGATTCTCTCTTGATTCTAGTTGCTTGATGTTTCTTGTTCCTGATCAATGGCTTCTAAGCTTGCTTAAATACACCTTGGATCACTTCTGAACGTTGGGGATGATTAGAGA